AAAATTTATGAAAAAGAAAAATAATAATAACACACAAACAAAATATTCAGCGGATGCGGCGGCATTCAATTCATATGTATGTATACACATGTATGTGAGTTTAGGTATATGAATATATGTGTTTTCAATTTATTTATGTTTTGTTTGTATGCGCGTGTGTTCAAAGCATTCACTATGCCAATTGTTGATTCCGTTCTGCATTTACCTTTTTGTTAGCTTCAAGTTGATTTCTTCACACACGTTTCATCATTGCCTACTACACATACGTGTACATATATGCTCTACACTCATTTCCTTACTTTTCAATTCATTTCCGAGCGTTGCTTTTCCTTTCATTTGGTGCATAAACATACGGGCCTTTTCTTTATTTTCCAACATGTCTATATATATATATGTACGAGTGCGTAACATATGCTCCTCTCAGTCAAATGGACACTACTTTGAAACTGGTTTGCCAACAGGCTGTTTTCCTTACCAGAAACTTCTATTTTAAATGAAAACTAAGAGATTTGCGATTCCGCACGGCTGATGGTTTCTAATGAGAAGCATTCTTGTTCCGCTTCAGAAATGCACACTGGAGTTTCTTAATGTGGAGTCCGATTTAAAAAACAACGTTGAGGTTAGTGTTATTTATGGGTTTAGTAACGCGTACTGAATCCGTTAAAAATAATACTTATTACTTAATTAATTAAATGTGGCACTACTTTGTACTCTTTAAACGGATTCCTTTTTTGTCAGAAAAGTATAGTACTACACTAGTGTCCTCCAGACTACAGAGTACATTTACATACATGAATTTCTGCACTACATAGATGATTTTCTTTCACTCACAAGATGTAAACGCGCGGAAAAAAGTTCTCTTTTACGGTGATATTTTCGCTTTTACGAGTAGAGAATTTTCGCAGCGAGTTTTACTTACACAAAGATATATGTATATGCACATATGTATGTACGAGTATATGCGCTTAGTTGGATGTGTTCATTTTTATTCACACAAATCTTTCCTCACCCCCTGTTTGACAATCACTTTGGCAAAACTCATTACTTAAATTTCTGTCATCTTTTGTCAACCATTTTCTTCTTTTGATATCATTCGAAATTTGCAGATTGATTTTTTCCTCTTTTCTTTTTAAAATATGAATTCGTGCACTTTTTACAAATTTCCTTGCTTATTTGCATATTTTGAGGCAAAGTATTATTCAAATATGTTCAAACACAATTTCAATGCTAAAAATGTGTTGATTTTATTGATGTCTCCTTGCACGACTTGGCATATTTATTTAAGCACTTCAAATATTGAAAGAATACATATTTGAATATTGAATACAACACAAAAAATGAGACGGAAAATACGAGTCCCATAACAATTACTTTCGTGTATAATACTCAAACACACACATACATGTGTATTATGTAAATAAACCATGAATTTCTTTTGCAGGCTGATGAGTGCTTGTGCCTTGTTAGAAGTTGCATAAAACCGCCATCACTTAATTTCGTTATTTCAATTGAAAACTATTTTATAAAAACTCAATTGTCTATACTAAGATTTGTCGTCAATTGAAATTTTGTTGAAGGTACATAAAAATTAATTTTCTTATAACTATCACACTCGGGCTGGTAAGGGCATTTCTGATACGATAAGGAAAGCCTTCTGATGGGAAACCTACCACTTGTTTGACAGCGAACTTATATTGCGAGATGTTGTTTTTGTAAAAATTGTTGGCACTAGGTTCAAATCGAAAAAAAATATTCTATAATTCAAGGATATTTTTGCTTTATGTACGTTTTTAATATAGCTCGATACATTTAGTTCTTGTTTCATAGATGGCATTTTTTTTGCTCGGAGCTCTTAAAATAGAGGGAGGGATCCAAATATGAAGGATAGAGGGATGAGTTACCAATTCATAGCTCATTTTTTAAACTTTTGCCATTTACAGGCCTATTCTGTCGAGGTAACAAAATTTACCTAGGTATTCAAATTTACCATTCAGTAAATTTTGTTACCATTTCGTATTCTGAGCTCACTGTTACCCTGTAAATTTTGTTACCAGCAAAATAGGAGGTAACAAAAATATCTGCTATATCATTTTGTGTTGTAAGTTTGAGAAAAAATAAAAAGCCAAAATGGGTAGGCATACTTTCGGCCTGGAATTCATTGAAAATGAAGAAAAAAGTGCAAAATGCCATATTTTAAGAAGTTTTCGAGACTAAAAAAAAGCCCTTCAATTTGTAAGATTTTTGTGCACCGTCTTCCATTTCGATGTGAATATTTTTCTTTTTACTTTATCAACTGGCAAATGTAATTTGATATGGACGAAAAAGCAGTGCTGCCAAATTTTTCTCAAACATTGTAACCAGTTCGCCAGAATACCAAATTCAATTTCGGGTGTTAAAGAAAAGTAAGAAAATTTACTTTACCGGTGACAGTGAGAATAGGCCTGTTAAAGGCAAATGCATTTACCAAATACAGGAACAGGCGATGTAAGGCGGATACAGATAAGCCTACCAACCAAGCTCTCAGAATTTCTGGCAAGTCAATATCGGTGTTGTTCTGATGAAACGCAATTCTTTACCGGCCCGAATTACAAGTTTGTTCGTAAGGTCGCAGCTCATAGTGGATCGCCAATCAATTTTAGTTTTGAGACCGTTTGCTACGGTTCACTGCCTTTCGACCACGGCTGTTTTTTTTTTTTTTTTTTGGACGTTGCTGCAAGTAATCCACTATTCATCACCAGTCACCATAACTATGTGCAATATAGCGAATTTTAAATTTGTTAATTAATCTTTGGCTTGCTCTCAAACACTGCTATGTTGAGTGATTAACACTTCTCTCGTTTACTTTTTAGTACAAAATATCATCTTTCCAACAGCATCCGACATAAACCAAACGGACTTATGGATCGCGAGATACCGATCACTAAAGCCATCTACTGCAAAATAGTGGATAACTTGTTACTTAACTTAATATTTTAATCAAATCACCTAACATTAAAACAAACTATAATTAAAATCCCATATCGGGATTTTTTGAATACGCAAAAGGTTAAACATGATTTTATCAACACACGTGCACATAAATAAATAAATAAACAAATAAATATAAGTATGTAGAGTATACGCACATAAATGCGATTGTGAGCTCATGAGTGAGTGGTGTGAGCGCACTCATTGTCGTACTTGAGACAAATTTTTTAAAATGAGTAATTACCTAATTACCTGGCTCTCTTCGGTATACTCGTATGTGTGTTTTTCAGTACACTCTTAATATGTGTATGCATGTAGGTGTGTACCAATTTTGAGTTACTACAGTTCAGTGGGCTTCTCTGTTTTCTCTGCTGTTTGTGCTCTTAAACATATGTTATATACTCGTATGTATGTATGTTAATATTTACATTAAGTTGTGATGTCATTTTTTATCGTACTTAAAGTCAATATCAATTGAGATAAAGAGAGCTTTATAAGCGCTGAAATGATTTTCAAGGTGACCAAAACTTGAAAAATGATTTTCTGCCCAACATTTCCGCATTACGGGTAGAGTTAAATGTTTGTATTAGAACAAAAAATTTTTATTAATAAATTACAAAGCGAACACTTATTTTAATATAAAGTGTGGGACTTTCAAGGCAAGTCCTTTGCTGGACTTTGATTTTCATTTATATCAGCCACTTTTGATATTTTTCACGAATGTGAAGGGACTTTTCGTGCTAGAAGTTGATAATATTAATGTTAGTATTCCTCATCTAAAGAAAGACACAGAGCGAAATATGCTCCCAATCAATCAGCATAATGTCCTCCAGTAATATGAAACAATTCCATATAAAGTACGTACTCAAGAGCTTTAAATATTTGGTAAACAACACTAGTCAACAAAATTGGAAAAAAGTTACTTTATTAATATTTTTCATTTTGAGCTATAACCAACTGCACTCATTTAATATTTTTGCTTGGACTTGCACAAGGAAAAAGAGATGCATTTCCGATGTATCTTATACTCTTAGATGGTTATTGGGCGGAGTTTGAAAACTCATACCTGAACATATAATATGTTATAATCGTCTGATTTTGATAATTTTCAGTACGAATATGTTATTTTATGCTTTTTTGACCCACCCATGACTCAATGCTCAAACTCGAAAATGCAAATGATAATTAAAAACATCTCGAAAAATAAGGTGCTACTTTGAGTACAAACAGATAGAGATGCGAACGGACGGGCATTAACTCAACCGATCATTCATAGCCAACCGGTATAAATTTTGGTGGGTCTATCTCTTCTTCTTGTGGTACTTACACACCTCGGACGAAAGTTAATACACATACCGTTTTAAGTAATTGGAAGGCATAAAAAAATCTGCATTAAACCTGGCAATCGAATTCGTATCATAACATATTTTCTGCTCAGCGACCTCAATTAAGCTCATATAAGTTCCTTTCGAAATACATAAAGGGATTCTCTAGTTCAGACTATAAGTAAAGGGTTGAAAGTTGAATTCAATGCTTGAAATTCATTTGCTTTGTTATATTTTATAGAACTTTCATGAGCTACAACAGACGGACTACTGATGAAGTTTGTAAAGAGATCCACCTAAAGTCGCTATTTCTAGGAAATCTTACAAGTGATCATATGACAGAGGTCAATGGAATTTTATTAGTAACCTATAAATTTTCCCTATATTTCATTAGAGAAAAATATTAAAGGACACCAGATTTGTGTTGACCAGTCTAATAGTGGGGGTTCTATTCTTAAACGATACCGCTTTACATCATACTCGTGTGGTATTCTCTTTTAACTGGCCTCACGATCGCTGGTAAATTCTCTGAAGCACAGCTGACAATGTATATGAAGAGAACATGTTTTTGTATAAGCTTACAATATACATACATATTTATATGAGTAAATAGAAATTATATTGTGGAATGTAACAATGACATTGCAAATATATAAATAGAGAAAGCCATGAGCTAACATAAAAATATATTTATAAGAAAATTTGATTGTTCTCACAATCCATTCTACTCGCATTCGTGTGGCGCACAACATACACGTAGCTTCGAGTTAGAGAAATTTGGAAGAGATTTGTGAAATAATCGTATATCGTATTTGAATCTAACTTGTTTTATAGTTCGTAATTACATGGCAAATAAGTGTGTAGACAAAATTTATGTAATATAATTAATTGTATGCTTTGGCAAATACTCGTACTCAAGTGAAATATGCATTTACTCACTACAATTTTAATGGCCTCGGCTATATTGCTGGGCTCTCAAGTGCAGTCATATCGAATTTTAGGCATTCTTCATACCGGCGCAAGATCTCATCATATTGTGGGCTCTGCGCTGATGAAGGGACTAGCGCGTAGAGGTCACGACGTTACGGTAATTTCACCATTTCCACTGAAGGAGCCATTGAAAAACTATCATGATATAGAAACACCGATAATTAAGGGCATTATGGAAAGTGAGTATAAATATGTGTAATATAAATATAATTTAATTGGCGCTTTGTAAATGCTTAAGCGATTTTCGGCCGGAATAAACGTATACATGTAAATACTGGAGTACGGTTCGATTAGCCCTCTTAAAAACTGTTTTTCTTTTATTCGCTTTGCGTCAGTTCCAATGGGTGTCTTGTCAAAATTCTTCTCAGTACATTTCTCGCTAAAATCTTAGAAATCCCATAAAACTTTTAGCCGTGGAGAAATAGAGAAATTCTGTTAATTTTTAGCTGATTTAAATTTTTAAGTCCCATTCGATAATCAAGAGGAGGAAGCTTCATTTCATTTGCAAAATCCGTAAGTCATATGGATGACGCCCCTCTTGTCGGTTGGGTGTAAGGAGCGCAAGCTTTGGGCCTATTATTATTTACTATCGTACATATATAGGTTATATGCATACATATGTAGAGTGCGCGGAGTTGATAATAATATTTAATGGATTGAAAGTCATTGTCCACTTTACATTCATAAAAAACAGTTTTTATTCCAATAGATGTACATGTATTTTTGGTGAAAATAAAATTTGTCCAGTTGGAGATATCAGCATGAAGTTTTTAAATTATAAGTGGCTTACTTATGATAACAAATATATACCTGTTATCTAGCTGATGCTAGCGATAAGAATTTCAAAATTTCTGAGTGTGCTTAAATAATGAAACATTGCAGTGAATCATCATGCAAGTCGAAAAATAGCGATATTTGAAATAATAAGTTTTCTAGGTTTTCTTGTTCTTTACTGGCTGTTTCTTAGTTCGCTGAATTAAGTCAATGTCGCCAGATGAGTATCTCATACAGTTCATAGTTCAACGTCTGCGGTATTTGCCGTTGGCATATGACATGAGATATTTCGTCTCAAATGAGGTCGGCCATCGGCAGAAATGTCAAGCCAACCATTACATAAAAGCTCTTCAAAAAAAAAAAACAAGAAAACAGCGATCGGGGTTCTACCGGAAATCGCTTCAGTAGTTGCGATTATAATTCATCAAATAGAAATTGCGCACAAATACCGGACTCTCAGGTGACTGACAAATTGCACCTTGCGCCCACTTCGCACAAAGTACTCGCTGAGACATACAAACATACATATGTGCTAAGCTAAATGTCGGTAGAAATAAGAGTTGCGATTGATAGCAATAAGTGCAACTGCGATTAAAATAACAAATTATTTGTTTATTTATTTATTTTATGTTTATTCAATTTTTTATCTTTTTCAAAGGCAATAGCAATGCATTAAAAATAATAGTTGAAACGTTTACGAGTATATCACGTGTATGTCACATGGAGTAGGAATTACAACAAACACATAAGACAGACTAAGTTCGGCTTGAACTGAACACTAGATACTCGACTCAAATGTGCGTTAAGAAGAAGCTATCTCTGGACGTTTGTCAGCAATTTTTCGTAGAAAATAACATACCGACTAAATTTCGTTTAGTTCTCTCGATAAATGAATTAAATATTCGATCTCGAGTGAAGGTAATGAAAGGGATGGAAAGTAAAAAGTCCTTTATATGCCCGTATTCAATTTAGATTCAGCTTAGACCATAAAATTTATAGGCAAAAAACCACATGTAAACTTAAAGCTGAACCCAATAAATGTTTTGACGTACGTTCTGTCAAAAATACTGCGAATTGTTGACTTAAGAAACTCATTTTTCGCAGTCTGTTATGTATAAAGGGTGATTTTTTAGCTGTCATCTTTTTGGCAGCACTGGTTCAAAAAGCTGACGAACGTTTCGTGTTTTGTATCATAGTTTAACCATGAATCGTTTAACAAATGTACAAAGCTTGCAATTAATGGAATTTTATTATCAAAATGTGTGCTCTGTTAAGAAAGTTCACCGCGCGCTTCTTCCGCGTGCTCTTCGAAGCTCATTTTTGGCTTAATGGGTGAGCAAATAAGGAGAATTGTCGATTTTGGAGTGAAGATCAGTCAGGAAGCATTGCAAGAGCCACCAACGCATTCTAAACACGTCACAGTTTGTTGCGGTTTATAGACAGGTGGCATCATTGGACCGTATTTCTTCAAAGATGATGCGAATCGTAACGTAACTGTGAATGGTGAGCGCTACCGTGAGATGATATAAAACTTTTTTTTTGCCCAAAACGCAAAAGCTAGACTTGCATGACATGTGGTTTCAACAAGACGGTGCCACATGCAACACAGCACTCGTAGTAGTAGACTTATTGAGAGGCGGGTTCGGTGAACATTTCATTTCACGTTCGGGCCCAGTCAATTGGCCGCCTAGATTGTTCGATTTAACGCCTTTAGACTATTTTTTGTGGGGCTATGACAACATTGAAGCATTTATTCGTAAAAATATTGGAAAGAGTATGCCAAAATTGGACTAAGCGGGTGAATCATTTGAGTCGCAGTCACGGTCAACGTTTGTATGAAATAATCTCCAAACTTTAAATTGTATGGACCGTTCTATCATTTCAAATAGTGATTTCATGATTTTTTGAATTTCGTGTTTTTTTATTTTGAAAAACTTTTTTATGGCTCTTAAAAAATCACCCTTTATTTAAGCTGAATTTCAATTATATGTTGTTCATCTCGTTTAGAGTGTTAAATCAAACACAATCCGTTACACACAGTTATAAATTGACAACCAACTGGTGTTACAATATTGTGAATAAAATACCAAATGCCTGGTAAAAATTTCAAGGGCACCTCAGGGCGATTATCAAACGAAACAGTTAACCCTAACATGACTACATCTATTGATTTTAACGTTTGACTCATTGGTAAGACGCTATTTTGAAATTCGTTGCCTATTAGAAAATATTTTAAATTTCCCATTGTTCACTGTGTTCAATTTCCAGAAATACGAAGAAATGGCTAACGTAAATATATTTAGGGTTTTCCAATAAGAGTGATATGATATCTTTGAAAAAAAAAATACACTATTTTTGAAGGAAACTGAAATGGCTTTTATTTCCTGGGAAACGCAAGCGAAACAATTCAGTTCTGAGTATAAGATCTTTCAAATGGCCTCCACGACTTCTATTGCAGGTGCGAATTCGATGAACCCAATTTTTAAACACTTTTTCAACTAAATCATCTTCTCTGTGAATATTCAAAACTGTCTAATCTGGTGCGAAGAAAATCCACGAATTATTCATGAACAACCACTTCATTCCCCTAAATTGAAAGTTTGATGGGGTTTTTGATCTGGTGGAGCCCTGCCCACATCCCCATGTGCGAGATTTGAGGGGGCATACAATCTAACAGAATTTTATTAAATTTTTTTTCCTGCAGTTTTGAATTATTTGGTACTGGAAAGTAGCGAAATACTTACATAATGTTTTCAGTGTTTGAAACAAAACAAAGCAGTGAAAATCAGAAAAAATTCACACAACAACAACAATCACATCGCTAGAAAAGTAATATCAACCCACAGGCCGTATTAAAATAAAAAAATACTAACCCTATTAAATTGAATTGTACTTGCACTCACATCCACATACACATATACATATATATATTTCTAAATGAATTCTAATTTGCAAAGTGTGAATTTAAAATTCCTTACCTTTTATTTGAATCGCCGGCGATACTTTTGTCGATCCAACTCGACAGGGTTAAATAATTTTATTCAGGCAAACCTTTATTAAAAGATCAGTATTTCTAGTACCGTTAAACGAAATTCTGTGTTATATTTTAAGCAAAGATTTTCATATTCACTTTGATTTGTATACTGTTTCTATTTTTACTAGTATCTTAATTTTAATTTTAATTTTAATTTTAATTTTTATTTTATCGATTTAGGCACAGCACAACATCTCTTGGAAACAATCAAAAAAAATGTTTTTGTAAATGTAAAAGGTTTTCATGAAATGGGCCTTAATATGACACGCACTTTTCTACAAGAACCCAATGTACGAAAGCTGCTTGCCAGTAATCAAACCTTTGATGTTGTCATTTGTGAAGTTTTCCTCTCGGAAGCGCTCTTCGGTCTAAGCGAACACTACAATGTGCCACTGATCGGTCTAGGTACCTTCGGTGCTCATCCCTGGAATACAGATTTGGTACGTGCATACAATAAAAATCATTTATAGACCTCTACATAATTTCCCTTCTCAATTTTCCTTATTTTATTTAAAACAGGTTGGTTCACCCTCACCACCTTCGTATGTGGCAAGCGCAATGTTGCCCTTCCGTGACCATATGACATTATGGCAACGTGTGGGTAACTTGGCATACAACACATTTGAACGTTTACTGCTCGATCTCTATTATTTGCCAAAACAAGAAGCTATATACAAGGAATTCTTTCCCAATAACAAACGCGACATGTACGAGGTGCGTCGCAATACAGCCTTAGTATTGCTCAATCAACATGTCTCACTCAGTTTCTCGCGTCCCTATGTGCATAATCAAATCGAGGTTGGCGGTATGCACATCAATCGCAAGCGCTCACCGCTACCAGCTGATTTGGAGAAGTTTATCAATGAATCAAAGCATGGCGTAATCTATTTTTCGATGGGCTCGAATTTGCGTAGCAAATTTCTACCGCTAGAAAAGCGTCAAATAATACTTGACACATTCCGTGGCTTGAAACAGCGTGTGCTGTGGAAATTTGAAGATCCCCAACTGGAAGGCAAGCCGGATAATGTTTACATTAGTTCATGGTTCCCGCAGGATGACATATTGGCGCATCCGAAGGTGAAATTTTTCATCACTCACGGTGGTTTGTTGAGCACTACAGAATCCATTTACCACGGCAAACCCTTTGTGGGTATACCGATCTTCGGCGATCAATTTCTAAATATGAATCGCGCCGAAGCAAGTGGTTATGGCATACGTGTGGATTATACTAATTTAACAAGAGAAAGCTTCAAATCTGCCATCGAGCGTATGCTATCCAACGATAGCTATGCGAAGCGTGTAGCAGAAGTGTCTGCTATTTATCGCGATCAGCTCATGGATCCGCTCGATTTGGCTGTCCACTGGGTGGAGTATGTGGTGCGTCATAAAGGTGCAAAGCACCTACACTGTGCAGGTCAAGACTTAAGTTTCATAGAATACCACAGCATTGATACTATGCTGATATTGTTTGGGGGCGTGTCCACGGTGATCTTACTGTTAATGTTGCTGATTCGTGCCGCATGGCGTTGGTTGCAGTTTGCACTTGCACGTAAGGATATCAAGCAGAAGAAGCATTAAGCAAGTGTTAATTAATTGTTAAATATTTATAATGACTGCAGCTGAAGTATAATTGTAATATGTAGATTTGAAAATAATTTGTAAGTTATGTGTGGTTGTTTACAAGTGGTTGATATTTAAGCAAAAAAAAGACAAATGTAAATAAATAATAATAAAGCAATGTCCCTCACTCAAATAGTTTAATTGTTAATAAAAAAATTTTTTCTTATGCCTACATGCGCATTTGGCAGCTGTTACTGGAGCCGCGGAGCAAACCTCACCAAGCTCCCATGAATCCAGTATCGCTATCCCGAACACTTCTTTTGGACTTGACTTCCGTTATAAATCCTTTTAAAATAAGTTTTAGTTACAAATTTATTTAAAGTAAAAGAAAATTAAAATTTACCCTTCAAGGCCTGGAAAGTTCTGTTTGAATTTCGATAACGAACACCGGCTGTAATTATCGGTCTTTTCTTCTCACCTGACATTCGTATTTGGCTTGTTCGACACAGTGTACTCGTAAATACATATAAGGGTTAAGGCAAAATATACTAGGTGTGTTCAAATAATAATAAAATGATCAAGTTTTTTTTTGCACAAAATAGCCTCTTTACTTTTGGGAATAAGACAAAGTCAAACGGAGCAATTTCAGGCAAATATGGAGACTGAAACATCCCTACCGTGTTGTTCAACCCCAAAAACTCATACAAGTAATCTAGTGGCCGCAGTAGCGGAGTTGTTAGGATTGCGCACCGCCATTCGGAAGGCTCGGGTTCAAATTCTGGTACGACCAACAACCAAAAGTTATAGAAAATTAATTTGAATAAAAAATTATGTTAAACTTTCGATCCTCGGCAGGGAATGTCAACCCCTCCGGGTGTATTTCTGGCATAAGATAAAGGCTCTTGAAGGGGTTTAGTTTAAATGTAGGTCCCTCCATTTGTTGGAAAAACAACAGGACTTAAAACCACGGAAAATCACTACAGCGATTACAGAGCGCCAATTATATATTAGATAAATAATATAATCAAGAACGGGCATTTGCATTATGGTATGATATTTTGTAACACACGTTTCATACCAAAAATAAAGCAACGACTTTTCTTATTAAGCTATTTGTGACTCGACGATCATTCATAAATAACTATTTTAAATTTTTTGCGATCTTAACGCTTATTCCATTAAAAAGAGACAATTAGGAGCGGTTTTCACAAATAAACAACTGAATTTTTTATCATACTTTAGGGGCATGCATTCTAGCATAAAGAAAAAGTTTGGCAATCAGACTCCAAAGGCCTGCGAAATTTCCAAATTATCGTTATTTTTTGAATACAGGTCTTATATACATATTCTACATATAATATATATTTAGTATTTTGTAATAATTTTTAAAATAAAAAAAATCTGAACTTTTTAAAATAATCTATTTTATTTCTGTTAAAGAGTTCTCAATACTATTTAATAAAAAACAGCATTCAGCTTTTGTGAAAATGCCTCAGCTTCGTCAGATCGTCAACATTTAATAGTACTTTTTCAGACTACGGCTACAATGACGGGTTTGATTTAAAATGGTTTTAAAAATAAAAAATTGATAAATTTTGAAATCATATTCGCTAGTACAGACTTTACTTTAATTCGAAATGTAGCTTGAGACTTTTTCAATTATAATTTTAATGAGTATTTTTTTAGACTTTACTACTTTTATTTAAAGTTTTGTACAGATATTTTTTTTATTTCACATATCGAAAATATCTTTAGTATAATAAAATCTAATTTTCACCAACTGACCACCTAATCCATAATGCATAATCATCAATCAGTCCAACCTGTTTGTGTGGCCACCGCTGCTGTCATACTTCATTTGTATCAAAATTTAAATGAGTCTGCGTGAAAACCACCATAGAATTCCAATATAAAAGTTCACAGAAAAATAATTTCTTATATATGTATGTATGAGTACAAGCAAAGGCGAAAGTCTGCGCTGCTCTTGTCTGGCCAAACGTTTCATGCTGGATGACCCTAAAAAAGCAGCGAAGCGTTTGATTCGTGTTGACAGCATATTATTTCGAGTAGCGATTGTGCTGAGCTTTCATTCACTCTAATAAAAATGTGTTAAAGCATTGATTTTTATTACACCCACAGGCATTTCCTATTTGCATTTCATGTATATATATACATAAGTATGTATGTTTATATACATAGATATATATATTTGTTGCAGCAGCTAACACTCACTTCAGCATTGGCTAACCGCAAGGCCGGAGGATATTTTAAAATATTATTTGCATATAAATTTGTATTTTTTTACCGAGTTTTATTCTAATATATACACACATACATATATTTGCATTTATTTATTTTATGGTGCTACAAGTTTTTGAAAGCAGAGAAACGCAATAAATAATAAATTCTTCGCATTTCATTAAAATTAAAATACACTTCATTGAAAGGAAATTATGAAAAATATTCAATGATTTTGTAATAATGTATGTACGTGTATTTGGAATACTATATAGGTTTTTATAAATACCATGTCATTGCAAAGTTAACCCTCGATTGAACTAACCGAATCTAGATTCAAATATAGCAAGAGCAGATTTATAGTTTTCTCAAAAATAGAATCAAAATTGTTTATTGTCTTAATGAATAAAAAATTAAACGTAGCATTGAACAAAAAATGTAGAACATATTTAGCCGAAGTCTTTGTAACTTTCACTAGCATATCATATTTGTTTTATTGCATTTTAAGCAATATGGCATCGAAATGTTAAATCGTCGCTCTCGTTAATGTTAAATCTCTAACAGACAATGTTAGACGTTAACAGTGAAAAGTGCTGTTAATATCACAGCAAGTAGGCACTTTAAATCAACGCTAGCTTATTTCATTAAGTTTATTTTTCATTTAAAAAAAAACGAAGTGACCGTTTCGTTAGTTGAGCATCACTTATTTTATGATTGAAGATTTCTGCGTACCAAGTTTCGTGGAAATTTGTGATGGGTACACAAGCAAACAAGCAGTCAGACCTACGGACATAACTAAATCATAAATTTCTTTCAATTCATGGCTTTTGCATTGCGTCTGGGGATTATTTTGATCGCGGCAACATCGCTTTAGGCGAAGAAATAAATTTTTTGCACAAAAAAATAAATTAACGTTAATTTTCAAGCACGCCTCGTATATGCGGAAGAACAGTAGAAAGAAATTTTCTGATATCATAATGGTATGCTATAGATACTTGAAATATTTTATAAAAATCGGTATATCTACGCACATATGTTTGTATGTATGATTTATGTGTTATCTACGTACATACAGATATAAATTGTATTTCTTAACTGTGCGATACAAACAAATGAAACCAGAATGACGAGACAAAATGCATATATTCACACACACATAATTTGGTATACAAATAGAAATATGTTTATGTTTATAGTCAATCAACAGTAAATAATTAATTAAATATTTCATACAGTAATAATTGGCAAATATTTTTTAACTATCGTTACAGTGTTTCGCTTTAAAACGCTTCTAAGAAACTTTCATTTTTTCACATTAATACATACATATATTGGCTCTGAGCTTACTCAGAATGTCAATAATTATAGTGTGTTTGTTAGTAATTATAAATTTATATATTTGTATAAACTTATTTGCTCAAAAACAATCGGTTAAATGCTCAATAGCACGAATTGACCTCTCCTTGGGTTTACGAGTATTTGAATGGAACAAGCTCGTATGTTTGCTGATTTCCATTGTCATGCACACAGAGAATCAAAATGCTAACCGGTGAAATGAAACAAAAGATCCTTTGTAAATTACTGTGATTTCCCATGTACGTATGTAGGTTTGTGTAAGTACAAACATTTTACAAACGTAAATATTTATCAGTCGATAAATTTGCTGATAATTCGATTGTTTCACAAACATACCTACATACTTGAACGTAGATGCATTATGAATAAATATATATACACTTGATTTCATTTGCTATCTCTGCAACCAGAAGTCTATAAATATTCAAACAATTATTGTATATAAATATATATATATATATATATATATATATATATATATATATATATATATATATGGTGCTTTCTAACCGTTGAAGCGATTTTCGGCCGAGCTCCTCCTCTAACTTATGGTCTTGCCGCTTGATATTTCTCCAACAAATGGAGGGACCTACAGTTTATACTAAGTCGCCTCCGAACGGCTGATAGTTTTTTTATGAGGAGTTTTATTTCATGTGCTCGGTACTCGGCAGAAAAGTCGCTTCAGCGGCTAAAAAGCGCCAATTATATATTATGAAGATTTTTTAATCTACAAATAAGATTATTGGCTCGCTTTTCGAATTTCAGATGAATGTGCTTAAATTATTATTAGTAAGATGAAATTAAGCATAAAGAAGATTTTCAATCTTCAACGAATATATCGTCCTGTAAATTAATTTTCATTCCGTAAAAGAGCACAACCACAGTGTCGGGTTCGTGATTGCCGAGTTCTGTCATTCACCTTGTTTAGAATGAAAGTCCAGCCTCTTTATAGACCAAAATGAAATTTTTCAACATACACCCATGAAGAAGAAGAAGACTTTATCAATGCCATAAATATATAATTGTTTATAGGAAACAACAAAAAGTGGATTGATAAGTGACGTAAAATCATCACTACACATACAAATATTACCACGCGCGCACACACGGGCAAACACACAGACATACTCAGCGCGCATACTAACCAACACTAAAAATATACATGAATGCCCGCAAATATACATGTGCAGCATGGCAAATACATAGCTGAAGAAAACACGGTGATAATTCATTTTTATTAGAGTCAACATGGCAGAAACAACGACAGCAACAGAAAGAGCAAAAAAAAAAAAACAAAAACAACCGCATGGAATGAAAATATAAAAACAAAAATCTATGTGAAGAAGGGTTTGGACTGTTGTTGTTGCTGCTGACAGCAACAATGCCGGCGACGATGGACAGCGTGCCATAAAATAAGCAACGATAAATGATGACACAAGGAAAGTTGTAGTGCAACAGGAAGCTAACAATGTCAATGTTGTCAGCGGTTACTACCGTTGTTGGCAGCATGAAACTAACACCGACATGACCTCCAGGCGATGATTGGAAGTCCTAGAATAGTGTCGAAGGAAGATGTGCAGCGGAGCATGCATT